TTAAATCTTACATAATCTGGATCTGGTAGTAAAGCAAAAATAATGCGAACTTATTACATTTCCCTCGATATACCGAGATCTACATCCCGATATCAAATGAAACTGATTGTGTTTCGTCTACCACGTGATGCGTATAACGTGTTTATTCAACGGGGGATCTTTTCACGAGCGGGTAATAATACTTGGTATGACAGGAAGGCAGAAATAATAGGGTAAAGAAAAATTATCACAAACTTCTTCGATAAACCAAATATATCTCATTCAATATACCGGGATATAGATCTTTCCAAAACGAAAGCGGTGCAGTGTCATGAAGAACTGTCTATACCAAACTACGGTTGAAGACTTCGTGATATATCCCGATAATCCGGACGACCCTGCTATCACTGAATTCGTACGGATGATCAAATGTCTGGATTAGCGAAATGTGAGGTGAAATGGGGTTTAACGTTCAAGATTAGTGCACTTAAAGAGCGACGTGCTTGCACATGTGTGCGTGCATGCGTGCGTGTGACTGCTTGTATTGGTGCGGAGTAATGTCGGTTTTATTGGGATGAGATACCATGCAGCAGTTTAACATAGATGTCACACTAAAATGCTGACTCCATACCGACCAGTCATTGTTTTGTCGAGAGCCGGGCAGGGAAACAACAAGTACCATCTTTCATCGTCTTCTGGTGTGAAGGAGACGGGGATGAAACCATTGACCTTCCGCTCTTCGAGCAGACGCTCTATCCACTAGACTACCGTCGCAGTCCGAACTATTGCGAATAATATCCGTTGTTGCCATGTCACAACAAATGTCCGGTAGGCAGGGTGTCTAGGGGGCAATTATAATGACAACGAAACGATCTTAAACTGAATTTCTAACTTGAAGGAAGTGCCTAATTAGGAGGTTAATTCGCGACGACTGAAGTGACGCACTGTGAGTGAATGTGGTTGTACGCCGCTTTTAGTACTATTCCCTCCATAGAACGGACGGCGGGGGACGCCAGACATCGGCTTCACACATTCTACTCATGTGGGAGTCGTGTCCCACTCTTCGATGTGACGAGCGAACGCTTTTACCAAAGAAGTATGGTATGACCCGTGAAGATCCGGGACAGAATAGGTCTTCACCAACCAATGCTTGCCGTAACAGGCGACTATGTGTGTCGTAAGAGGCAACTAATGGGATCAGGTGGTCAGGATCGCTGACTCGGTTGATGCATGCCATCGTATCCCAATTGCGGGGATCGATGGAATATAGCTGGAATATTTCGAACAAACAAACAAACAAAAATGTTAACTTATTTCTCATTAATGTTTTACTTGTATATAAACTTTGATATGTGTATAGCATGCTCTTAAACTACGGTTATAAATTATTCTCGGGGCGGGGCAGCATGATTGGTTTATACTGGCCAAGTCAGGACAAACTCTGGTGCCAAATATGTTTCACCATAACGACACATAACTTCCCCCCTTATCGACGAGTTGCTAAGTCCGCCGCTTGTAGCAGTGACATGACCTCTTCAAAGTTTTACCGGATAATCTTAATGTTCATCTCGACAGCACAGTGTGTTTGAAATATTGTTAAAATAAATGGGGATTGTCTACTTTCCAGGGCAATACTATATACATGTATACTGATGTGGGAATGGGGAAAAAAACTAAAATACACGTATGCATATTAATAGTGGATATTTTGCTGTTCTTGTTAAATAACATGTATATCTCATAGTTTGGTTCAAGGACGCTTTGAACAGTATTTCGGTTATATCACAGCGTGCCAGATTAATGTGGAAGGAAAGCCTGAAGTGATGCAGGTCTCAGACGTTTACCACTTAGGTGAAACCCACGAGCACGGGTATGGTGCTGACAAACTTAGAAACATAATCGGGGCAAATCTGGGATCCGAGCCGTGTATGATATGTCACAGCTGTTCGAGACGCCTTAAATATATAACAAGACACATTGTTATTGACAGTCATTTCGACAAGCTACTATAATTAGGTACGGAAATCCATAAGGGCCATGACATTGATTATTATCTTGAAAAGTAAAGATAAACTTGCCAAGGCTTCGCTTTCGTCTTTGCGTCCGTGAAGGTCCGGGGTAGAATAGGTCTTCAGCAACCCATGCTTGCCGTAAAAGGCGACTATGCTTGTCGTAAGAGGCGACTAACGGGATCGGGTGGTCATGCTCGCTGACTTGGTTTGAAGCATGTCATCAATCCAAATTGATGATATCAATCAATCACTAGATTGCCTGGTCCAGACTCGATTATTTACAGACCGCCGTCATATAGCTGGTATATTGCTGAATGCTGCATAAAACGACAAACCAACCTACTTTCTGCTTTGATCTGACTCTGTACCAAGAAAAGGATTTGACCTTTCAGGATAAGAACTTGAAGTTTAATTAAAAGAATTTTAATTTTAATGTATTAATTTGAATTATAATGATAAGAACTTGAAATTTCAAGATATAAAAATAAATGTGTGGCCCTCATGGGCTTCCGTAGTCAGGACTTGCTCCATCCAGGCGAACGTTTGAGCCACTGGCAACAGTGACATAGTTGTTGTTTACCTAAGACTGACAAGATACCACTGTTACAATTGACCCCCAGCGTTTATGCTTGGTCGGCGACTGAATTGATCGGTTGTCAGGTCACGTGGATTGCGTGCCATCATCTACCAGTGACGTGGAACCTTACATTTGATATTAGCCTCATGTGTGTCTGGCCCAGGATCGATGATTTACAGGCCGTTTTCATAAAATATTGCCAAATGTGACGTTAAACAACAACAAAACTCCACGAGGCAGGGCTAGCTCACCGTTGTGTATAAAGGCAAGCTGCAATGAGTCCCGCTACGGCTCCGTGACTTGCCCGAGAGTCATTAAATTACTGTTGCTTTCATTGTCAAAACATTCCTGTAGTGAACAGTTTTGATTGTGGACTCCGTGCATTGTGACTGCCTCCGTGGTCTAGTGGATAGAGCGTCTGTCCGGAGACTGCCTCCGTGGTCTAGTGGAAACAGCATATGCCTGGAGACTACCTCCGTGGTCTAGTGGATATAGCGTCTTCCGGAGACTGCATCTGTGGTCTAGTGGATAGAGCATCTGCCTGGAGACTACCTCCGTGGTCTAGTGGATATAGCGTCTTCCGGAGACTGCATCTGTGGTCTAGTGGATAGAGCATCTGCCTGGAGACTACCTCCGTGGTCTAGTGGATATAGCGTCTTCCGGAGGCCTCTGTGTTCTAGTGGTCAAAGCGTCTGCCCGGAAACTGTCTCCGTGGTCAAGTAGATAGAGCGTCTGTCCGGAAACTGCCTCCATGGTCTAGTGGATAGAGCGTCTGTCCGGAGAAGGCCTCTGTGGTCTAGTGGATAGAGCGTCTGTCCGGAGAAGGCCTCTGTGGTCTAGTGGATAGAGCGTCTTCCGGGGGCCTCTGTGGTCTAGTGGATAGAGCGTGTTCCGGAGACTGCCTCTGTGGTCTCGTGGAAAGAGCGTCTGTCCGGAGACTGCCTCCGTGGTCTCGTGGATAGAGCGTCTTCCGGAGGCCTCTGTGGTCTAGTGGATAGAGCGTGTTCCGGAGGCCTCTGTGGTCTAGTGGATAGAGCGTCTGTCCGGAGACTGCCTCTGTGGTCTAGTGGATAGAGCGTCTCCCGGAAACTGCCTCTGTGGTCTAGTGGATAGAGCGTTTGTCCGGAGACTGCCTCCGTGGTCTAGTGGATAGAGCGTCTCCCGGAAACTGCCTCTGTGGTCTAGTGGATAGAGCATCTGCCTGGAGAAGGCCTCCGTGGTCTAGTGGACAGAGCGTCTGTTCAGTGAGTGTCGTTATGAGATGATATACTGTGTCGAGTCAAGTATTGATGTTAAAACTGAGACATGGTATCTCAGTGGGCTAGCACTATAACACCGACATCAGTGAAGCCCACACACGGACGGATGCACCCACATACACGTCGCCAGATATGTGCAATAATTTTGAACGCGACGTTAAACCCGATTTCACCTCACCTTTGACATCTTAGAGCGCTCTGCATAGTTACGCCCCTTTTATGTGTCATGATCCTGTGCTCCTGGGTTCGATCCAAGGTTCGCCCTGATTATGACTCTTGGTTTGTCAGCATCATAATCGTGCAAGGGGGTTTCACAAGGACCACCATCACTCTAGAATTTTTCCAACACCATGTCTTAATTGTTAGTTGTTTAACGCGACAATCTGCAATAATCCAGTGATTGACGTCATGAGCATCGTTCGACGCTTTTGTGATACGATGACATGCATCACCACCCGATCCGTAAGTCGCCTCTTACGGCAAGCATAGTCGCCTTTTACTACACACGAGTTACTAAAGGCCTATTCTAACCCGGATCTTCACGGGCCCTACATAAAGTTGAAACCCACGAGCACGGAGTGCTACTGACATACCAATAGTCATAAGCGGGCCGAATCTGGGATTCGAACCAACGACCAACGTATATTGGCATGCCTAAGGTACCAACTCTGAATGGGCCGTTATACATTGTGCACACGCAGGTTGTAACTGAACCTGGTCCTTATGCGTGACGAGCAAGCACTTTAACCACTTGGCACTCCCACCACACATTGACAAAACTACATACTTCCGGAAGATCCGGGGTAGAAAAGGTCTTCAGCAACCCACGCTTGCCGTATAAGGCGACTATGCTTGTCGTACGAGGCGACTAACGGGATCGTGTGGTCAGGCTCGCTGACTTGGTTGATGCATGTCATCAGTCCGAATTGCGTGGATCGATGCTCATGACATCAGTCACTTGATTGTCTGGTCTAGACTTGACTTTTTACAGACCGCCGTCATATAGCTGGAATATTGCTGAGTGCGACGGTAAACAACAAACAAACATACTTCATGTACTATGATAGCAACTTATGTTAAACGAAGAAGACAATACACACATATAAAGAAAAATTGCCCGAGCTAACAGAGACACAGCTTATTCCACTGCCACGTCAAGCGAAGCCAATCAAGGCGAGTTCTGACACCTGCAGTTCTGCATGACACCTCTTTCACAATGACACGTGATCCCTGATCAGGCTCGTCTCTTTAGTTGGCGGGCACTTGGCATCGATATAACCAGTGCCTTAATCCCACCAATACACACAGGCCACTCCTGAGCCGGGTCTCTAATGACGGAATGGTGGCGCTTAACCGGTAACGCTATGCATGAGGGTGAGGTTGCGCTTGTCATACATGAGACCAGTCAGTACCCGGACTTGAACTTAACAAGCTGTGTCCATACTTCTTCAACCATCGGCAGTCCGAACTGGGATGAGTAAGTACGGGTTTTCTTTCATTGTATTCTTGGTGAATCTGAAGGAATGGTACGTTTTAAAATAAGAACCTTTATGGCTACATGTGTCACATAGTCATGTAGGAATATATCGATGCGACGTTAGATTATAATTTTTCTGTATGTGTTTATACTCAACTTTTAATAGGCGTGTTGGTCCACTTCAAGTTGGGGTGAGTGAGTTGGGTTTAATTGTGCTGGAAGAGTATTTCAGTTGTTTCACGGTGTGTCAGCTTGATGTGCAAATACTCTCTCGCGGTTTGACACAGGACATTTCTCATATGTAGATCTGGACTTGGTATGAACGTCGCGCTGTGTAGCACAGTCTCTGCTTATTGGAAGAGGTGAGTGAGTTGAGTTTAACGTTGATTGAAGAGTATTCCACGGCGTGTCGGCTTAATCAGTGTTGTATATCTCAGTAATCATATGTCGTGACAGCGTTGTATATCTTAGTAATCATATGTCGTGACAGTGTTGTATATCTTAGTAATCATATGTCATAACAGAGTTCTATATCTTAGTAATCAAATGTCGTGACAGTGTTGTATATCTTAGTAATCATATGTCGTGACAGTGTTGTATATCTTAGTAATCATATGTCGAGACAGTGTTGTATATCTTAGTAATCATATGTCGTGACAGTGTTGTATATCTTAGTAATCATATGTCGAGACAGTGTTGTATGTCTCAGTAATCATATGTCGTGACAGTGTTGTATATCTTAGTAATCATATGTTGTAACTGTGTTGTATATCTTAGTATATATATGTCGTAACGGTGTTGTATAACTTAGTATCTATATGTCGTAACAGTGTTGTATGTTTTAGTATCTATATGTCGTAACAGTGTTGGATATTTAAGTATCCATATGTCGTAACAGTGTTTTATATCTTAATTATCCATATCGAAAGCGGACTGGTATATGTAAAAAAGATCTTCAAATTCAGATGTAGTGACGTTTTGCAGTAAAATTACATTATTTGACATCAGATCTCACTGTATCAAGTTGGCGGCCGTGGAGGACATTTTGAGTATATTCATGTAACTACACTTATGGTATTACTTACGTAATCTTACAACCCTAAGATTTACCTGCTGACGCCCCCAGTTATATTACCGAGACCGTAGGTCAATGACATTAGAACTGACCGCCTACAGCCATTATAGGATACCAGTTGATCATGTGAAAGATTGTCGCGTGACCTTATTCAGGAAGCAGGTATACTGCTTGCTTGTTTGTTTGTTTGTTTGGTTGGTTGTTTTGAACGCTGTAACATTTCATAATTTGTAAAAGAAAACTAACGGTAATATATTTAAGAAATAAACGACGAGTGGGCGCAGTCCCGAGTGGTTTATTCTCCCTGCAGTTTTTTATTGTACTATAAACAACGAACACGAGTCGTTTATTTCTTATATAAGATACCTACATTACGTACAGCCTCTTTTACTATGTTGATAAAATGTAGACGCTTAAAAATATTTACCCAAATTTTAAACTTATTCATATTTTTACTCACTCACTCATATTTTCACTCACTCACTCACTCGCTATCAACGCCACTGTCGGTCCAAGTTATCTTCCCGAGGCAAGTTTCCCAATTGAAACTGGACTTTTATAGTCAGTTAACTCCCTAGCCTCGGGAAGATGGGTCAAAGTAGTCTGTGTCAGTTGAAAATATGTAATGTCCCGAATGTGTTTGTTGTCATGCTTCAGAAACATTTAGTTGCATATAATCAATATTATCATCACATCCATTTTATTATTACTTCAAGAAAGAATAAGCAAGATGTATGTGTTTTGTTGGTTTGTTGTTTAACGCCGCAATATTCCAGTTATTTGACGGCGATCTGTAAATATTCGAGTTTGGACCAGGCAATCCAGTGATTGACATAAAGGCATCGCCTTTACGGCAAGTATGGATTGCTGAAGACCAATTATAACTCGGATCTTCACGGGTCTTGAAATGAGTGAGTGAGTGAATGTTGTTTAACGCCGCAAGTCGTAATATTCAAGCCGTATCGTGGCCAAAGTCGCAGCAATACTTGTAGTAGAAGAAGCAGCTGCAACAGCAGTAGTGATACTGATAATAGTAGTTTACCACTTTGGCGAAAGTCACAAGTACATTTTGGTGCTGACAAACCTGGACGAACCAGGATTCGAACTCACAATCATAGGTTTCTGGCGTGCCTACTAGAAGTAGTAGTAGCGCTGGTATATATGTTCAGTGCTACTGAAAACTGACTACACACTAGTTGACTGAAACACAACATGTCGACATCTGCAGGTCTATCCAGATAACACAGAGTCGGGTTACAGCCGTGACAATGAACTAGGACCCGCGTAGATCAGTCATAGGCTGGCATAAAGTGACCGATCCCACCGATGGCATGAGACAAACATATTTGTAGGATATATAATTGTTTGGGTATTGAACAACAGAATTTACATCCTGTGTCTGTGCCCGCGGTTGGAGTGGTGATACCGATCTGTGGACCAGCGTTAAGTGGTCAGATTGGGATCAAACCCTCATGTTTGAGGGTTTAATGCCAGACGACGCTTTTCGATGCACAGGAGTGGCCATATTGTCGTTTTAAAATACCAGTAAATAATGTTCCCATTATGTGAAACATTAAACATGCCAGATGTCTTTCGTGTGTTTTTGAAGTCTTCTCGCTTGACAATGAGGTGTCTGTAGTTACGCAATGATTATCAATAATGGCCTTTGTGCGACTAAAATATCAAGAAGGTAATATAACGTTTGAATTGCTTAAATTACCATAGTCACTGCCTGGACGCGAGTAGCGAACCAACATTGTTCTGAATTAACACGTGTTGAGTAGGATGTTAATGTTCTCTTAGCTGCTATTTGCAAGAAAGGGAAATGGCGTGTATAACGAAGGTCAAGTCTAGCAAGGTGCCCTGGGTTGCAGGTGTGAAACCTGGACATACACCCCTTTTGAGGATTCGAACCAAAATATACTTCTCGACTAATGATAGGGATAATGACATATTATAAGAATCAGTTCTGTGTATCAGTTCTGTGTATCATGACAATTCTGTGTGTCATGACAGTTCTGTGTATCAGTTCTATGTGTCAGTTCTGTGTATCAGTTCTATGTGTCAGTTCTGTGTATCAGTTCTATGTGTCAGTTCTGTGTATCAGTTCTGTGTGTCAGTTCTATGTATCAGTTCTATGTGTCAGTTCTGTGTATCAGTTCTGTGTGTCAGTTCTGTGTATCAGTTCTATGTGTCAGTTCTGTGTATCAGTTCTGTGTGTCAGTTCTATGTATCAGTTCTATGTGTCAGTTCTGTGTGTCAGTTCTGTGTATCAGTTCTGTGTGTCAGTTCTGTGTATCAGTTCTGTGTGTCAATTCTATGTATCAGTTCTATGTGCCAGTTCTGTGTGTCAGTTCTGTGTGTCAGTTCTATGTGTCAGTTCTGTGTGTCAGTTCTGTGTATCAGTTCTGTGTGTCAGTTCTGTGTGTCAGTTCTGTGTATCAGTTCTGTCAGTCAGTTCTGTGTATCAGTTCTGTGTGTCAATTCTATGTATCAGTTCTATGTGTCAGTTCTGTGTATCAGTTCTGTGTGTCAGTTCTATGTATCAGTTCTATGTGTCAGTTCTGTGTATCAGTTCTGTGTGTCAGTTCTGTGTGTCGGGCCTGTGTGTCAGTTCTTTGTATCAGTTCTGTGTATCATGACAGGATAAAAGTATCCCTGTCAAAAGATGAACAGTGTATGTCAAGTAGTTGAAATAAGACCAACGAAAATGGGGATCGTGTTAAGACAACGGTTTGACGAATGTTTTGCCCTCTTCCCCCATGAAGATCCGGGTTAAAAATGGTCTTCAGCAACCCATGCTTGTTGTAAGAGGAGACTAACAGAATGGGGTGGTCAGACTCGTTGACATGGTTGATGCATGTTATCGTATCCCAAATGCGTAAATAGATACTAAAGAAGTCCATCACTAGATTGTCTGCTAAATTATTCACAGATGTTAAACAACAATCAACAACGTTAGTGGTGGCACGGATTACATATTCGCATCCCCCCCCCCCCCCCTCATTCCCCCGTAGGCACCCGTCACAAAAACATGCTCCCCGTGCACATGCACCTCACATGTACACGTTGTAAAGAATGCCTGCCCTCTGTCAACAAATTATCTTTTTCCCTTGGGTCGTACGGTCCCCTATTAGTGGCAATTGTTTACTGTCAAACTGATACGAATTATGATATAATTTGTCAATAAGTAACCAGCCTGGCAAATTGGGTTTTGAATTACTGGAATCGATGTTGCTAGGGTTACCAGTTGTTCCGAGCCTCGTCTTTATTTGATAATATTGCTCCAATCCTCATGCAAGTGGTTTTCTTTTACTTTCAGGAATCTTTGGAACAAATTACTGAAACCACACCTCGTTTACAACGTACCATTTGAAAATTTCAAATAATACAAGGATACAAATAATCTCTAAGACCGTTAAAGTTAGAAATGACTTCTTTGAAGACACAAGACGGGATTCCTCTGCTGATGTTCAACACTGAAATGTCCGTTCACCTGTGAGAAAGGAGTGTTCTCAACACTGTTACCGTCAACCCTGGAAGGGCGCACTTGACTAACGACCTCATCAATATGGCTGTGATTTTCTGTACCTCGGAGTGCGCACTTGATTAGATCTGACCATGAACAGTCGACAGAAAGAGGTCCTGGCCTCAGGTAGGTCACTGCTGACGAGGAACATCATCTGGACGCCCCAACTTGCGACTCTCCTCAAGGAACAGGGCGTGGCCACTGACTCCATTCTAGCAGACATCGAGGTAAGCTTCACAACCATCCCCAGCAGTACATTGCTTCTCATTGCTTTAATAATCAATTTCAGATTTATTTTGTTTTCTAACTTCGGTTCCGATCGGCACCGTTTTCCAAAGTTTTGCAATAATCTGGCAATAAAATAACAGTGAACATTTGAACATTGACAACAGGTCTGCTTGTAAGACTGTACAACCCAACTATACGTGTGTTACTGTCTTCAATGGCTGTCTGTACAACCCAACTGTACGCGTGTTACTGTCTTCAATGGCTGTCTGTACAACCCAGCTGTACGCGTGTTACTGTCTTCAATGGCTGTCTGTACAGCCCAACTGTACGCGTGTCACTGACTTAAATGACTGTACAACCCAACTGCACGTGTGTCACTGTCTTCAATGGCTGTCTGTACAACCCAATTGTACGTGTGTCACTGACTTCAATGGCTGTCTGTACAACCCAACTGTACGTGTGTCACTGACTTCAATGGCCATCTGTACAACCCAACTGTACGCGTGTCACTGACTTCAATGGCTGTCTGTACAACCCAACTGAACGGGTGTCACTGACTTCAATGACTGTCTGTACAACCTAACTGTACGTGTGTCACTGTCTTCAATGGCCATCTGTACAACCCAACTGTACGCGTGTCACTGACTTCAATGGCTGTCTGTACAACCCAACTGAACGGGTGTCACTGACTTCAATGACTGTCTGTACAACCTAACTGTACGTGTGTCACTGTCTTCAATGGCTGTCTGTACAACCCAACTGTACGTGTGTCACTGACTTCAATGGCTGTCTGTACAATCCAACTGAACGGGTGTCACTGACTTCAATGACTGTCTGTACAACCCAGCTGTACGTGTGTCACTGTCTTCAATGGCTGTCTGTACAACCCAACTGTACGTGTGTCACTGACTTCAATGGCTGTCTGTACAATCCAACTGTACGTGTGTCACTGACTTCAATGACTGTCTGTACAACCCAGCTGTACGTGTGTCACTGACTTCAATGACTGTCTGTACAACCCAGCTGTACGTGTGTCACTGACTACAATGACTGTCTGTACAACCCAGCTGTACGTGTATCACTGACTACAATGACTGTACAACCCAAATGTACGTGTGTCGTTGACTTCAATGACTGTCTGTACAACCCAACTGTACGTGTGTCACTGACTACAATTACTGTACAACCCAAATGTACGTGTGTCGTTGACTTCAATGACTGTCTGTACAACCCAGCTGTACGTATGTTACTGTCTTCAATGGCAATCTGTACCACCCAACTGAACGGGTGTCACTGACTTCAATGGCTGCCTGTACAACCAAACTGTACGTGTGTCACTGTCTTCAGTGATTGTCTGTACAACCCAACTGTACGTGTGTCACTGACTTCAATGGCTGCCTGTACAACCAAACTGTACGTGTGTCACTGACTTCAGTGATTGTCTGTACAACCCAACTGTACGTGTATCACTGACTTCAATGGCTGCCTGTACAACCAAACTGTACGTGTGTCACTGACTTCAGTGATTGTCTGTACAACCCAACTGTACGTGTGTCACTGACTTCAATGGCTGCCTGTACAACCAAACTGTACGTGTGTCACTGTCTTCAGTGATTGTCTGTACAACCCAACTGTACGTGTGTCACTGACTTCAATGGCTGCCTGTACAACCAAACTGTACGTGTGTCACTGACTTCAGTGATTGTCTGTACAACCCAACTGTACGTGTGTCACTGACTTCAATGACAATTTGTACAACCCAGCTGTACGTGTGTCACTGACTTCAATGACTGTCTGTACAACCCAGCTGTACGTGTGTTACTGTTTTAATGGCAATCTGTACAACCCAACTGAACGGGTGTCACTGACTTCAATAGCTGTCTGTACAACCCAACTGAACGGGTGTCACTGACTTCAATGGCAATCTGTGCAACCCAACTGAACGGGTGTCACTGACTTCAATGACTGTCTGTACAACCTAACTGTACGTGTGTCACTGACTTCAATGGTTGTCTGCACAACCCAACTGTACGTGTGTCACTGACTGCAATGGCTGTCTGTACAACCCAACTGAACGTGTGTCACTGACTTCAATGGCTGTCTGTACAACCCAACTGAACGAGTGTCACTGACTTCAATGGCTGTCTGTACAACCCAAATGAACGTGTGTCACTGACTTCAATGGCTGTCTGTACAACCCAACTGTACGTGTGTCATTGACTACAATGACTGTACAACCCAACTGAACGGCTGTCACTGTCTTCAATAGCTGTCTGTACAACCCAACTGTACGTGTGTCACTGACTTCAATGGCTGTCTGTACAACCCAACTGTACGTGTGTCACTGACTTCAATGGCTGTCTGTACAACCCAACTGTACGTGTGTCACTGACTTCAGTGATTGTCTGTACAACCAAACTGTACGTGTATCACTGACTTCAATGGCTGCCTGTACAACCAAACTGTACGTGTGTCACTGACTTCAATGGCTGTCTGTACAACCCAACTGTACGTGTGTCACTGACTTCAATGGCTGTCTGTACAACCCAACTGTACGTGTGTCACTGACTTCAGTGATTGTCTGTACAACCAAACTGTACGTGTATCACTGACTTCAATGGCTGCCTGTACAACCAAACTGTACGTGTGTCACTGACTTCAGTGATTGTCTGTACAACCCAACTGTACGTGTATCACTGACTTCAATGGCTGCCTGTACAACCAAACTGTACGTGTGTCACTGACTTCAGTGATTGTCTGTACAACCCAACTGTACGTGTGTCACTGACTTCAATGGCTGCCTGTACAACCCAACTGTACGTGTGTCACTGACTTCAGTGATTGTCTGTACAACCCAACTGTACGTGTGTCACTGACTTCAATGGCTGTCTGTACAACCCAACTGAACGGGTGTCACTGACTTCAATGGCTGTCTGTACAACCAAACTGTACGTGTGTCACTGACTTCAGTGATTGTCTGTACAACCCAACTGTACGTGTGTCACTGACTTCAATGGCTGCCTGTACAACCAAACTGTACGTGTGTCACTGACTTCAGTGATTGTCTGTACAACCCAACTGTACGTGTGTCACTGACTTCAATGGCTGTCTGTACAACCCAACTGAACGGGTGTCACTGACTTCAATGGCTGCCTGTACAACCCAGCTGTACGTGTGTCACTGACTTCAGTGATTGTCTGTACAACCCAACTGTACGTGTGTCACTGACTTCAATGACTGCCTGTACAACCAAACTGTAGGTGTGTCACTGACTTCAGTGATTGTCTGTACAACCCAACTGTACGTGTGTCACTGACTTCAATGGCTGCCTGTACAACCAAACTGTACGTGTGTCACCGACTTCAATGGTTATCTGTATAACCAAACTGTGCGCGTGTCACTGACATCAATGACAATTTGTACAACCCAGCTGTACGTGTGTCACTGACTTCAATGACTGTCTGTACAACCCAGCTGTACGTGTGTTACTGTTTTAATGGCAATCTGTACAACCCAACTGAACGGGTGTCACTGACTTCAATAGCTGTCTGTACAACCCAACTGAACGGGTGTCACTGACTTCAATGGCAATCTGTGCAACCCAACTGAACGGGTGTCACTGACTTCAATGACTGTCTGTACAACCTAACTGTACGTGTGTCACTGACTTCAATGGTTGTCTGCACAACCCAACTGTACGTGTGTCACTGACTTCAATGGCTGTCTGTACAACCCAACTGAACGGGTGTCACTGACTTCAATGGCTGTCTGTACAACCCAAATGAACGTGTGTCACTGACTTCAATGGCTGTCTGTACAACCCAACTGTACGTGTGTCATTGACTACAATGACTGTACAACCCAACTGAACGGCTGTCACTGTCTTCAATAGCTGTCTGTACAACCCAACTGTACGTGTGTCACTGACTTCAATGGCTGTCTGTACAACCCAACTGTACGTGTGTCACTGTCTTCAATGGCTGTCTGTACAACCCAACTGTACGTGTGTCACTGTCACATGATTCATATCAGTGACAATCTTTTTAACTTAATTTAGCAACTCACATGCATCTGTTTGTTTTTTTATTAATGCGATCTTATCAGCTGAAGTTCATGCAACGCAAAACCCTACAATTTGTATTGATTACGATCTGATGAGGTTCAAGTAAGTCACATGTTTGGTTTTTATTGATGGCGATCTGGTCACCACAGGTGCAATGAAGTCACTGATTGTTACATTATTAACGATGGCCGGCAGTGGGCGACAGAAAGCCATCATGGCGTATTCAACACTGCTCAACTAATGGACCTGTGGCACGGAAGGAGCTCGTCTGGTCATCTGGCCGTCGTTTACGGTTTCTGGGAATAATTTATGTACTTTCATCAAGGGGTAACGATGCACAATTGCTGTTATTGTGGACTTAGTGTCGGCAGTACATGCCCGGAAGGTGTTACAGCATCAGAGCGGAAGTGCGGAACCTTCGCGGTCACCTTGACATGCAACAAACTCGTTAATCCAGACTGTTCTATGAACACCGTTGGCTTAGAGAAATAGTTGGTTATATGGTATTTGAGTTCATGACCACTCGTGTCACTCCGGGCAGGTTACGAAAAGGGTCGAGTTGTGACGAATGACTGTATTGGACGTGTCTTATCGGTGAACCGAATTACAGGAATCGCTGTGTTCGCTGGAATCGTGACACGGTTTTTTTTATGTTTAGGTTTAATGAGTATGTCCCTTTGGCGTTCCAGAAACCCGTGATCACGGGTACGAATCTGATAGTCACCCTGATTATGTTTCTAGGTGTGTCAGTACCATATTCGTGCTTATGGGTTTCACCGAAGTAAACGTCTAAAAACTACACTTCGAAAAAAGCCAAATTCTACTAACTTGATTAGTAACAGTAGCCTGAAGGTTAGTTAACAGAGAACTTACTATCCTGCCTGGTAAATCGCACGCGGCAGCGGTGGGGATAAGGTGTGTCATATTACTGTTCCA